GAGGGGAAACCAGAGCCTTCGTGGGCCGCCCACCGGCACGCCGCCGGGCTGCCCGTGCTCAGCCGAGGGGGATGCAACCGGCACCAACGCACACCCTTCCTTCTGCCTTCTGACAGCAACAAGTGAAGTCCCCTATAATTATAAATGCAAATGAGTATATTCACAAAATGAAGGCTCTGGCGCACTGGGAGCCGTGCTGGAGCTGGTCTGGGTGACAAGGAGCAAGACGCTCTCAAGGACTCGCACACTGCAAGGCCCGCGCTTCCCTCTCCCGTTGCCTCCTCAGCTCAGCTGAGTTTATCACGTGGCCTCCGTGCGTGAAGAATAATCTCTTTGGGGATTTAATTACAAGGTGAAATACGCCCAATTCTTCCATCCCATTTGCGAGTGACGATAAAGAAGCCGAGCTGCCGCTAACGTTGTAAACTCTTACGAGGATTAATGCTACTGCAACAAGGTTTTTAGCACCTTAACGACACCGTTTCTCTCCCGCCCGCAGCACGCACAGAGAGCGAAGGCATGGATGCTGGAGCCTGCACGTCCGACGGAACAGAAATCCGTAAGGTGTACGAAACGCGACGTGGAAGCTGCAACAGCAAATAGTTTTTATCGCAGAGCTGCTCTTCCACTGCCTTCATCTCCCCAAAGCTATCAAGAGAAGGAGCAGTTATATTTTACAAATGTGTGTATATACGCGCGCGGGCGGATGTGCAGTCAGCATGCAGCTGCTTTTATAAACCGCAGAATGTGCTTCCTCCTTGGCAGTCTCACTATGCCTTTTATTTTTAACACCAAATAAATACAACAACAATCCAATAAAAAAACAAACAGCACTAAATCTGCGAAATCGGTCGCTTTTAAAAGCAATACTGTTAACTAAGTTGAGGCCCCAAATATATGATTTGGGGAGTTAAAAACCTCCCCAGGTCTGCCATACAGATGGCTTTGTATAAATGACTCAGTATTTCAACCAGGATTTGGGACTGTGGGGGCTGAAACGACAGGTTTTTGGAAGGTAGAAACAAGAGGCACTTAAATCTCGAAGGTTTTTCAGAAGCACCAGGAGTTTAACTGCTTCATTTGCTTTTGAAAGTATCTTCCTGAGATACTTCCTCCAGTGACGATGGAGGAACCCAGGAGGAACCCAGGAGGAACCAGCTTTTCCGATGGAGCTCTGAGCAACCTGGTCTAGTGGCAGAGGGGCTGGAACCAGATGGTCTTTAAGGTCCCTTCCAACCCTTACCATTCTACAATTCTGTGATTCTGTGTCTCACTGAAGAGCCCAGAGCTGGCTGGACAAACCTGGTCGTAACAGGTGAGGGTGCAGCCTCAGTGGCCGCCTCCCACCGCTAAGGCATGTAGCTCTTCCAAAATCCCTCTTTCGCAGGGAATGGCCAGGCTCTCACTGCTCCGAAGCTAGTCTGCGTGTCCAGCATAGCCCCCTGGTTCTATTTTTATTTTTATAATCTTTGCTTTACCATCTTTCTCACTCCTCTTTGTGCCAGTGAAATAAATAAACATGCACGATGCAGATGGAGGACAGATAGGAAATTGGATCCGGTGACCGGGAAGAAAAATAAATCTCTTAATATCTAAGGCCATTGTTTCAATATTCCTACAGTTTTCTCAGGTAACAGCCTGGGTGACACATTGCTGAGAGGGTCACACAGAGAAATGTCTGCGTCTGCACACAATTTCACCCTGACCTTGTAGATACACACTCTATTTATTTACTCTGCGGTTCATATCTCCTGTAAGATTCCAGCTTCCAATTTTACAACGCAGGAAGCCTCTCCAAAGTATTCCAAAACCCGTTAAAAATAAAACTTTTAAAATATTTATTTAGATATTCAAAATACTTTCTTGCTTCTCCACGAAGGGGAGGATGGTTTCTGGTCTCTATCAACAAATTCTCCCTGGGCTCACCTTCTGGAAAGTTCTTAGCTCTGGGGTCTCTCCCCGCAGAGCAACGTGACGTCCACGAGCTAAAATTTCTGCAGGAATTTGAGCACCAGGTCACGCAGTTTCACCCTCAGAGGTTCGTCGTTGTCACAGATGATGTGTGTGGAGTCCTCCTCAATCTGAATGAGGGTTTCTGCCTCCTGGAGCAGTACGATGTGGCCCTTGGCTGTGTCCTCCACCTTCACGTCACTGAAACCATGCTAGACGTAGCGTTGGGGAGGGAGGAAGAGAGACAGATGTTACTACAAGTGAGGAAAACGGGTAGAGATGAAAGACTAGGGCACAGGGAGGAGGACAGGGGATGATGGCTACAAAACACAGAGAGCCACTGCAGCTACCCTCGATCTCCGGGGTTTATAGAGGCGACACGCACCGGCTAAGCGAAATACAACCCTCCTTATATAGATGGATAAACTACAGAACAGGGAGGCTAAAGCCAACATTTTCCGCTACACCAGGTCATTGCAATTGCAAAATCTTGAGACAAAGAGGAGAAATGGCTCCTTGAACTCCACAAATGACTGCCCGCTGACATTACTGCCTCAAAGCT